ATAAATCTATACATAAGATTTCGTAACAGTGCTTTAAAAGTGATTACTCTTGCACTCACAAACATTTCACTTGCACTATGCCATCTAGGTCTTTTTAGTAAAATTCTCATTGCATCATTATAAGCTACTTGCAGCTTCTGTAATCTAGATGTTCTATAGCTGAACCACAGATGAGCAGTATAAAGTGTTGTACAATATGCTTTAAAAAGTGACACCTTCACCTCATCCAAACAGAAACTAAACTTACGTAAAAAGTATATTCGCCTGCATATACATCATACAGCGTTGCCTTTCAATATCCTCATCGTCTGTCATGCGTTCAGTGATGAAATGTCCAAGGTATTTTACTTTAGCACACACAGTGAGACTCCTATTAGACAACTTGAAAACTGAAAATTTTATACGTTTATCCTCCTTAGTTCTGCAAATCATAACCACACTCTTATCAGGATTATATAAAATATCATGTTCAAGACCATAATCAGAACAGTTAAAAGAATCAAGAAGAGTTAAAAGCTCTTGAAGACCAGCACTGCTAGGACTAAACACCACAAGATCATCTGCATACATAATATGATTCGCTAGAATATTCCCAATCATACACCCAGTTTTACAAGCATTCAAACATTCAGATAGATCATCCATGTAAAGATTCAACAGAATTGGGGACAAAATCCCTCCTTGTCTCACGCCATTACTAACCGCAAAAGGGGCAGAGACTTTATTGCCCCATTTACTCGCATCATCTGGTGGGCATACCAATAAGCCAGGATTCTCACAATGTATTCTGGCACCGCTCTTTGTCTCATTTTAAAAAATAACTTCGCATGGTTAACCCGATCAAAAGCTTTAGATGCATCAATGAAGCACATAAAGACTGATGAGTTTGTATCTCTATAGTTGTTTACTATTTCCTTTAATGCGTAGATGCAAAGATCAGTACCATGTTTAGCCTTAAATCCAAACTGATTGTCTGTAGAATTAATAAACACATTTAACCTACACTGTAAAAAAAA